AACTTTCCCCGTGACGTCTGGGAAATAAGTAGAAACATGTGGAAACAATTATGTGACAAATTATGTGACAAACTTGAAAAATATGAATAGGTTTTTCTGAAATGCGCTTATGTGAAACGAGCACAAAGACGGAAGGTGAAGGGGCTTTTCTGAGTTTTCTAATGAATTCATTTCGCACAATATACTATTGTGAAAGATATCTTGTAAAAAATTTTCTTTTTGGAACAAAAAAGTAAGAACGTGAAAAGGATGTGAACTTTTTCTTCAATGTCGCAGCGCCACTTGCCGGACATCCCAGAGCCCGCAGCCGGCTGGTGACTCCGAGTTTCTCAGGCTCGATTGCCCGACTTCGGCTTTGTCTCTCTCGCCCCGGCTCGCCTGCTGGTCAAATGCCGGTGAGACTAGCGATGGGGCTCTCACGGTGCGTGGGAGAAAGGTCGACCGCGGTGCGGTCCGTTAAATACAACTCCGTACACAACTGACGCCTCTCCCCCCCCACCCCCATGGCTCCCGGTTCCCTTTCAGGGCTGCCCCTCAGTGTGGGCGGGGCGTCTGGGAAAGGGCGGGACTTATCGCTGAGGGCCGAAAGTGAAGGGCTGGGCTAAGAGGAAGCTGTACTGTGCGTGGTGGGCGTGGCCCCGCTCGGCGTGGCCCTAGCAGTGGGCGGGGTTACGGTAGAAAGCGCTCACGCCGCCGGCGCTTCTGCAGGGAACTTCCTGTGTCCTGAGTTAGTGAATGGTGTCACTGGGAGCCTGGACGACCGCGTGGAATTTGGGGGTTTGGTGAGACGCCTACGAGGTTTGTCCGCGGCCGGGGTGAAAGGTTTGGGTGAAAGACAGCGGCGCCGATGGCTCTGTTCTGCCTGTTCCTCGGGGCTGTGGACCGAAACCGTGCGGCTGCCCCTTGGAAGGCTGCCTGTGATTTGACTGTGTCTTCACCACACAGCTTTCCCAATCCCTGGCTTCAGTTAGGTTGTTGCTGTGCTCGAACTGCTCTTTTTCTAGCTTAGAAAACGTATCTAGTCATTCGAGTGTGTTACACCTTTACACCTGTGTATGCTTTATGCTGATTTCTTTGTGTTATATCTAATAATCTAATATCGATTATTACTTCAGACTTACTACTGATTAGTAAATCAGTTTAGCTTTTTGTCGACTGTTTACTCCTGTAATAATATATTTTCTACTGTCTACTGTGTGTGTGTGTATGTATGTATGTATGTATGTATGTATGTATGTATGTACGTATTGATTTTTCGAGACAGGGTTTCTTTGTGTAGTCCTGGCTGCAGGCTGGCCTGGAGTTTAAAGAGATCCGCCTGCCCCTTCCTCCCGAGAGCTGGGATTAAAGGTGTGCACTACCACGAACCGTTTGTGTGTGTGTGCGTGTGTGTTTACGAACAAACAAGACAAACCCTTAAACTTGGGCAAACTCTTTGCATCATTTTTTTAATCTGTAAAATGGGAATAACAAAAGGATTGTGGTGAAGAATAACTGAGTTAAATCACATAAAATCTTAAATCCAGTGACTATATCTAGTAAAAGCTCAATAAATTTAAAAAATTCTTTACATGAATTCTTAAACAGATTTGGCAGAAACTTCTAAGGTAGAAGTTATGGCTTAAATTCGCATTTAGCCTGAGCAAAGAAAACAAGACTTCAGTGTAAAAAACATTTTTATATAAATTATCAAGGAAATTGTTGGAAGGCATATGAGGGAGGAGGGAAGTACAAGATTGAGGAATGTTTTTGATGGGGTATGAGAGAGAAGAAAGTAAAAAGGAGAAGAAAACTATAGTAATAGGAGCCAGGATAGTATATTAGTGTGTGAACTCGTAGAATTGTTGCCAGTTACTACTATAAGATGCTGTAGAGAAAAAGTTTTGCTTATGTGTGTTGACAGTACCAAATTCAGTCAGTAAATACTGGGTGTCTCAGGCCTGGTGCTGGGGACACAGAAAGATTGAGATGTATGTGCCTCATTTGTACCACAAAATGTTTATGTAGCAATTTTAAAAATAATCAGAACTAGGATGGTCTTAAAAATTTATGTTATTTGTGCCTCAAAATATAAGCAGTCTGAATCCTTTTCTTTTCTAGACAATGGCCAAGAACAAATTAAAAGGGCAGAAGTCCAGGAATGTATTTCATATAGCCAGCCAAAAAACCTTCAAGGCTAAAAACAAGGCAAAACCAGTTACTACTAATCTTAAGAAGGTGAGTATTTAAGTAGTATGTCTGACTTTATTGTTTATAAAGTGGACTTAGAAACTAGTGAACAATAGGGTTTTGTTACTTAAACCAGAAATTCTTAGCTTTTCTTACTAGGTAAGATTATTTTTCAAATATTAAGATAACCTTCTTTTTAAAATATAAATTTAAGGTGGGATGTTAAAAACTAACAACAACATCAACAAGAAAACATTAACAGAAGTCACTGTTAAACAGTATGGAGGACAGTTCTTACTAGTTCTGAAGTAGATTTGAGATTCCACTACCAGAGATTTCCAGTGTCCAGCAACAGCTTGGTAACTAGTACCAGGCAGCCTATCAAACGGAGCCAGGCTGTGGTGCTGCCTGTGTTTAATCCCAGTGCTCTGGGAGCAGAGGCACGTGAATCTCGGAGTTTGAGGCCAGTGTGGTATACAGAGCAAGTTCTAGGACAGCCAAGGTTACACAGAGAAAACATTGTCTTGAAACTCCCTTCCCCCATCAAAACCTATAAAATGAAAAATACAAAAAGTGCTAGAGAGATGGATTAGCAATTAAGAGCATTTACTGCTTTTGCAGAGGAACAAGATTGAGTTCCAAGTATCCCATGGGGGCACACAACTTACTAACTCCAGTTCTAGGGGATCTGATAACCTTTGTTGGTCTCTATGCCTTCCTGTATGCACATCTCCCTTATGCAGGTCCACATACATACACATAAAAAAATTTGGTAAATCCTTATACTTCAAAAAAAATGAGAAATTGTTTTTATGATTAAGTAGATTGTGTACTCTTAGAGTGTTTTCTAACTTCAATAGTAAGTGATTCAGCTCTCTAGGATGTAATAGTTGTTATAAAGGTTCATTAAAAACTGACTTTTATCAAGGGCTGCAATACATTTTCTAAAGGAGATTTATGATTTCATAATTATAAAGGAAGTAAAGTTGGGTAAGACCGGAGTTTGGAGTGAGTTTTCCACAGGGTTTTCTTTGTAGTTGCAAAGACCTGCATGAAAAAGAGCTAATACTAAAATAGGAAACCTGACAGCAGCATGTTCATAGTCTATTTGAGGAATATCACTTTATTGAGCCTTAAGACACTAGAACTTTTACATAAGCTGATAGGATCAGAGAAAGTAGGTAGCCTGCTTGAAGTTAGTATCAAATAATTTCTTCAGAAAGTGGCTGTATTAAATTTTATTTAAACTCATTTAAATTGTGATTGAAATTTGGGACAGTGAATTTAATGAAGCCAGTCAGATAGTTATGACTTCAGTCAGCTTAAGATGTGGACTCAAATTGGGTCAACTGTGTTTAGCCAGGTTACTGAGCAAAGTTTGTCAAAGTATGAGAGAGAGAAAGAAAAGCATATAAAGGATTGGTAGGAATCCACACTAATAAAGGGATAAGGTGGACTGTGAGGATTGAAAAAAGGGTTTTGAGTGAACTTTACTGTGACTTGAAAAAGTAGAGTGTAAGGTGTCTTGTAGAAGCAGAGGGTCCATTGTTAGAAAGATCCCACAGAACAGGGCTTTGAGAGGAAGAGGCCATTAGACTAGATATATTGAACTCACTAAACAGTGATTCCATATATAGAGTGGTCAGAGTCTATGAACTCTGACAAAGCAGCAGATAATTGTGGTATTTCTGGGTGATAATAGGAAGTATTGGTGTTCTCATGAAGAATGTGGTACAAAGGAGCCCGGAGGCTTTGAAGGAGAGATCCTGGTAGCAGCTTTGAATACACCATTTCTTCTCTATGTTCAGACTCGAGGGCTAGTGCACATAGGAAACAAGTGTCCAGAAAAGGGCTCAAGAGTTGTTTTCAAAAGGATTGAAAGTATCTGATCCAGGTTTCTTGCTTTATTAATGATAGTTAAACGCCATAGCCAGGACTGGTCACATAAAAATCTAGAAGTCTGTGTGTATCATCTGTTACTCGTATGTGGGCCTGCAGACTCTGGAAGAGACGTCAGATCCTCTAGGAATGGGCTAGAGGCAGTTGTGAGCCACATGATGTGGCTGCTGAAACCAGCTCGAGAGCACAGATTTTGATCTGTCTCAAGCATGAGGCAAATCCATGTAATTGATGATTTTAAAAATCCAAACTTTCTGACTAAATTTCCTAAAAAGCCAGCAGTAGTTTCTGTGTGAATTATCAGTTTGGTAGAGCCAAGAGTTTATAGACTTTTTAAAAACTTTTTTTCAGCTGTGTGTCTGCCACATGCATGACAGGTAGGAGTGGGAGAGGGTGTTTGAGAAGACATTTAGACAGCTCAGTACTTTAATAGTTATGAGAGTATAACTTTTTTTTAACAGATAAACATTATGAATGATGAAAAAGTCAACAGAATGAACAGAGCTTTTGTAAACATACAGAAAGAACTTGCAGGCTTTTCAAAAAGTCTTTCTCTGAAGTCTGTGCAAAAGGAGCTGGTAAGTAGAAATTAGTTTCATAACAGATATTGAAAGCTAACACACTTGAAGTGTAAGCATTTTTTTTACCTGGCATTTTGGTGTATATAGCATTTTAGATCATATTCAGGCTCAAACATGAAGTGTGAATATAATTTATTTCCAAAGGTAAACTAGAAGAATTAAACTAGGTAGCAGCTTATATTCAAGGCGGTTTAGTTTGCTTTTGTTTAAACTTTAGCTTTTGTTTTTAACTTTTTTCCCTTTGCTTCCTCAGAAGCACCATGAAAACGAACCAGCTAATGTTGATGAAGCAACAAGACTAATGGCTCAATTGTAACACAGTGACATTCCCCCAAAGATCAATAAATTGAATGCTTTATACAACTTTATTTGTTTTAATCTTGTTAATGTACAGGCATTGGCACATTTTAAAAATAAACTACATAAACAGATCTTTCCTATACTCTAGGAAAGTAGAATGTCAGAAGTCAGCAAACTGATAGACTTAAAGTGCTAAAACAGAAGGCACTTCACAAAATCTCTTCACTCAATAGTGATGCCCTTCACTTTATATGTGGCAGTGAATGTCTGAAGGACACATAGATATAACTTTGTGGCAGTAAAAATATAAAGACAAATAAGATCTTCTGGGCAATGTTTTGCCCTTCTCCTTTTCTCTCAGGAGAAGTTACAGCAGAATTCAGCTTTGAAAGAAATTGAATATAATCACTGGAGGGACATGCTGGTAGGCAGTTAATCATCCCCCCTGAAGCAGTCAGAGCCCTTTTAAGTTTTGTGAAGTAAATGTTAGTGAAGAATATTTCAGACTCAGTGAACTAAAATGGTGTTACATTCATAATTTTAAATACTTAGGTTATTAAGAATTCTACAATGTTACAGTTAGAGGTAGATAACAGTCCCAAGTTTCCATGGAATCTAATAATTTAGTATCTGAACATCAAACAAATCACAAACTCCTTCATTGTCATCTAAATTAAAGTTGTAGTCATCTGCTGGGGTAGGAGAAAGCCGTAAGAGAGGAAACACTGCAAAAAAAGGAAAAGATTCATTGTTACAGTTGGTTTCTACATGGGTTATGATTAACATAAAATTTCTCAGAATTCTGAATCAAAAACTTACACTAAATCCCAGAGAAATGATTAACTACCGTACTATACATAACAGATTTTTTAATGATTATTGTATACATTTCATATAACACTATGGCCAATATTAGTGATTCAGTGGGCAGCTTGGAATTACTTGATGTGACATACTATTCAATTACTCCTGTGCCAGTATGTGAATAGTTTTCAATGAAAGTGGTTAAGTATTCTTTTTGGGTTCTTTCCCTAAAAACGCAAGTAAATATAAATTCTAAAAGATGCCTAGTATAATCTTGAGTCACATGGCATTTACTCTTTAGGATAGTAAGGTATATCCAGTAGTAAAATCTTCAACTACTTACCATCAGAAGACATCAGTTCATCAATGATGTCTCCACTAATAGACCCTGTTGAAAACACAAATGTGATAGAGGCAATTACATTTCAATAGTGGTAGTCACATCACTAGTTTGATTGGCATAATCAAATTAAAAGTACCATCACATTTTGGGAAGACAATTTCATGAGAAACTACTTTTCTTGGAATGCCTTTAAACTTGCAAACTGAAGATACAGTGGAAAAGAGCCCATTCTTCTAAAACTGAGTTTGTAAAGAGTATAATTCGACTCACTCAACAACACCTCATTTCTCCTGTTAATTTTTATCTTCGTATCTTACACACCAAAACTTTCCTTTGCTTAAACAATATTTCTTCAGCTTATTACTTCTCTTTTCTATCCCCCTCATTGCACCCTATTCTAGTCCTAGGTTGTCTCAGCTGTGGAAACTGCAAACATCTTGTCTTTAATCTCTAAAGCTCCTGAAATGCCACCCTCTGCTTCCCAAAAGCAGTTTCCAAGTCACCATACCCTCATAATCACCACTGCACAACTAATGTCTACTTTCCCGCATACAAAGCTGGTTTATTAGCTAGCATTTTCATCTGATATTTTGAACCTCTAATGTGTCCCCAAGTAACTCCTCTCACTATACCAAATGGTACACAGAAATTTTTTTAAAATGTTCTTTGGAAGCCAAGGTACCAACTGAGTTTAAGCTAAAACATATATAATTTATTTACCTCATATATTCCAATTAAATTGGAATTAATTAGTACTTTCTTCATCACTATACTTTCTTTTGTGCAGCTCTTCAGCTATAGTATATAAACTTATATAGAGAGGCGAGATGTATGAATGCAACACAAAGCTAAAACAAACCCATGTCCAATTAAAACTCTAGTTTCACTGTTACTGATTGTAAAATTTAGGATTAGAAGCAATATCCCATTAGCAAACAATACACATTATATAACACAGCTTTTAATATCTGCAGTGACTTCTGTTATTTGTTCAGAAAAAAAAGTTCTATATAGTCTAAACACTGCTACCGATTAGATATTCCTGTAATGTGCATAAACACATACATGCATACAAATATGTATCTCATATGACACCTTGGCTACTATTGACAGATCAGTGATTCAGGTGGGTAGCTTGAAATTGCCTGTGGCAGGAGTATGTACAAAACTGTTGATCGTGACATACTGTTCAATTCTGCACCAGTGTGTGAAGTTTTCAGTAAAAGTGGTTAAGTATTCCTTATGGGTTCTTTCCCTCAAAATGCATATACATATGCATACACACATACATATTATAGAAAGACAGGGTCTGCTTCAAAATCTTCCTTATAATAAATATTCTAGTGCTAGATTTATAGACTATAGAGGACACTAAATTAAAACATCAAATAAGCATATTTTGCCTCAGATAAAAGCTAGATTATTTTTAAATAAATATAAATTTATTTATAATAATAATAATAATTTATTTATTTATTGATAAATTTTTAGATCAAGGGCTTTCTACCAACCTGAAGATATTTCTGTAGCTGGTATCTGCTGGAAACTCTGGCTTCTTTCAGAAACTTGCTGCTCTGGCAGGTTCTGAGCAGCCATGGTGGATTTCTGTGGAGTCCCTGATGTTGGGGACTGGGATGAAGACTGTGTGAGGTCATCAGGTGGGGGGACAGGAAAAACCACCGGCTTAGATGAACTGGACTCTTTGTTTATAAGCAGCACATGGATAGGTCCTGAGTGACTCTTTAAATTAATCTGGTATTTCTTTTGTCCATTCTGGCCCTTTATAAAGTCATTGGGCATAAACAAATGAGTATTATCATTGCTAGTTAACATAAACCATTAAAACAAAGGCAAAATCATTAGGATCTAACAACTAAACTCACATGACAAAGCCACTAGGTTGCAACACTGGAGAAAAGACCCAAGTAGAATGTAATATTAAGGTCTCTAAGTCACTTGCCCCTAAAAGGTAAGCATTGCTAAAATGGTACCATCAAACAGGTTGAATTCTAAACAATTTGTCCCGTTTTTCTCTCCTTCCCTGCCCCATTTTTTCCTTTTGCTTTTGTTTCCTTCCCTTTCACTTCTTTTCCATCCCTCCCTCTCATCTTTACTTGACAGATTCACTGTGTAGTCCAGGTTGGTTTTAAAACTCAGTTTCTACACCACCATCTGTTTCACTGTCTGTAATGTTACTTAGTTGTGCTCAGTAATGTTCTACAAAGTGTCCACATGCATGAAACTCCAATCTTCTGGAGTAAGCTACCATGACTGTGGTTATCTAAACATCCTGTTTAAATTTGCAAATTTCAGAAACCAAAACTTTTCCACCCATTAATCAAAAGACAACTGGACTTGACTTCCTACATAGATACAAAGTTCTTCCTTTTCCAAAAGGCAATTTGTTTCTTAAAGCTTTAAAATACAATAATGTAAATTCCTAAATACTGTGAGAACAGGGGAGAAGTATAGATTCATTCAGCTACTTTTACCACAGTATTGAAGGCACCCAAATTTAGGTGTCAGTGCTTTCAGATACCAATAATTAATTCTTAATTCCAATTAATACCAATAATTCAAAAGTGTCCACACACTATTTGTTCTTGTTTACCTCAAGAAAATACATTTGCCTCTCTTGAGACAACAGAATTATTTTTTCACTTGTATAAAAGCTGTGCTACATACCATTTCTGGAATAGGTACTTCAAGCTGTGTACCAGAAGGAGCCTGAATGGCCAACAGTGTATCACCTGGCAAAATAAAATAAAATAAAATGATAAGTATTTAACCATAGAAATGCAATGCCATAGTTCATAAAAGATGTGGTGAGAATGAGAAAAGTCAAAAAAGTGTGGATTTACTACCAGGCTACCAGGTGTCCTGGTACATGCATGTTTTTAATCCCAGCCTTTGGGAATTAAGAATTCACGGCTAACCTTTGTTACACAGTGAGTTCTAGGCTAGTTCTAGGTCCACTTGAAAATCTATCAGAAATTAAATAAAAAAGCAGCTAGATGTGTAGCTCAGTAGTCAGAGTGCCTGTCTACTAAAATGCCCTGGGGTCTATCCCAAACATTGCAAAAATCAGCAGTGATGGCACAATGGCTATAACCCAGCACCAAAGAGGAAGAGGCAGGAGGGATCAGAAGGTCATACTTAACTATATAGGGACATTGAGGCCTCACTATGAAACAGATTCACCTAACTTTCCTCAAGAGTTTCCCTGGGTCCTACCTGTGACTAGTATCTGTTATATACAGTTTCATGAAACATGCTTATGCTTCAAGATCCCATGCTCCTGGAACCTTGAAAAGTCTGCTAAATCCTGCTCATTTAAGTTCCTCATCCCTTGGCTCCTGTGCCCTCCCACACATAAAGTAAAAGCTGTGAAAAAGGTTACGGCCATGAAAACAGATATGTAAGCAGCCTGTCAACCCACGACTACAGAGAAAGACAACATGCACAACTCCTAAAAATACTGACAGGATGAGTGTATGGGGGGAATTGTAAGAAACTACAGTCAACAGGTTGTTCAAAGGAAGAATGCAGTGGCTTGTGCCTTTAATCCTAGCACCTGGGAGGCACAGGCAGGTGGATGTCTAAATCAGAGGACAGCCAGGGCTACACAAAGAAATCCTGTCTCAAGAAACCAAATAAACAAATGGAAGAATGTAAGAAAAGGCTAACAGTACTCACCATTAAAGCAATCGCAGATGTCTTCGTGAGTTACATAAGAAAACGTACTGTCATAAGAGTTAAGGAACAACATTTCTATCAGGGCCTATACACTTGTTAATAAATCTGAAGTCCAAATTGAAATCGAATGAATGAAGGCACTATAACACGGTCAGACAAAAAGTGCAAGTCCTTAGAAAGACAAAGACAATCAAAAGTCTGTAGGCAGAGTTTCTACATGTTGCTTTAATAAGTAGTCATTCTGGTTTGTAACATCTGAGGACTTTTGGGTTATGATGCAAAATGGCACATATACTAAGGGTGTGTGTGCATGGAGAATGGATGGGAAAGAGCATAATCACTGTGAGTGAAGAGCGGCCATACAGGCTGCTTCTCTTTTTTTGAGTTGCATGGCCACAAAAGAGAGGAGGCTCTGGCAAACAAAATATATTACACTCATAGTTCCTAAAGACAGAAGTGTCATAGACCATATGGGAAACAGAGCAGTGAGTTTAGAAGATAAACAAAGCATTAGTCCAGAATCTTTGTTTGGGCCTTCATATGAAAAGTAAGGCAGGGAAGGAGAAACAGAAACACTTCAGAATTGGTTAGTTTGAATAATTTTGACCAACTCTTTCCTATAAGATCCCAGGTTGCTTTTCCTAGTCCTGGGATGATGAAGTAGAAGGAATATTGCCTCCTGGGTGTATGGGCCAGATGTATGGTCTAAGACTACAACTTCACTCCTGGCTAAGCCCTTGTCATTTTTAAGAATTGGCTAAATGTAGGGCATCCTTTTCCCAGACAGATATATTTTTGACACATCAAAAATCACCACTATAAGTTATATAGTGTATGTACAGTCATAGTTTAGACACTTGTTAAGCTATAAAAAGCAGGGCAACAAATTCTAGATCACTTAAATAGTTTCCAAATCTTCGGTTTCCATGGGATACAGCTTGAAAATTCCCATTGTTCTCACGTGATTATGGAGCTCTAACTCCCACACAAAAGTAACACGACAACATGAATATATTGTATACATTACTGAACTATTTCTGTGAGGTGTGTGGGAGGGTTAGCTGCAAAGGAAGACAAGCACAAGAGATCTCCAAGGTCCCTAAGCATAGACAGTGATGTGAAAGGAACATATAGCCTATGGCATTAACATCCCTTTATGAAGTAGGGGAAACCAGTCTTGGGTTAGTATTAGGAAGAAACATCAAGGACTGTAAACTTATGATATTCCTTAAAAAATTAGTTTTTCAAAACTGAAAGCTGCTGAGTTTTACTGCCCTAGAACTGAACATAATTATTTAAAGTACCTTATATACTTAGCAATAATATTCAGACCCCTGTACTAAGCTACAATACTGCATCCTGCCAGTCATATGCTGAGAGAACATGTATCTTTTCCCCTCAGTACAAGGATGTTAATACCATACAACTTAAAATGATAGTATTTTTAAAATACCAGTCTGATATTAGAGAGCTATAAGATGTTATATTTATTTGTAAAACTTAGTTGCTTAAGCACCAGACAACTGATTTGAGTACTAAAGATGTACTACATATATACATTTTGTGCTATATGATTAATAACTTACTCAGAAGGATATCTGTTATTAATGGAGTCTTCCATCACATTTTTGATGCTTTGTTGCAGCCACAGTTTCTGCTGGTCGAGTTCTCTTTCCTTCAATTCTAGATCTTCAATTTCAGCTTTAAGAAATCTTAATCTATCTATAACTTCTTTAGTATTACAGCCAGCGCCTACACCCCTTAAAAGCATGAGAATAAATACTCACAGGATCAGACACCCATTTAATATCATTTAATTTTATAGTAATAAAATTGACTTATAGGTTAACCAAATGCGTTTACATTCTTCTGAAAACCACACATTAAAATCCTTACAAAATTTAATCATCAAAGCTCTAAACGTACTTGCTTAGGAAATCTGAAAGGGGACTACAGAGATGACTCACAGCAGTTAAAGGCTGTTCTTTCAGAGGACCCGGGATTCAATTCCCAACACCCACATAGGAGCTAACAACTGTCTGTCACTCTAATTTCAAGAAATCTGGCATCCTCACACAGACTTACATGCAGTCAAAATACCAAATGCACATAAGTAAATCTTAAAAACCAAAAAACTTTTGAATAATACAAAAAATTAATGACAAGAAATATGTCTTGGAAATTTTAAGTATATGCTAGAATGCCTTTTTAACACCTGGAAAAATCTAGTGGAACACTGGAAGGCCAATCTAGTGACTGAGGGGCCAAAATCACATCAAAGCTGAACAGTTAGTCTCCTGAGGTGCTGGTGAAGATAACTATATCTGGTTTGGGGGCAGAATTCTAACAAAACAAAAGACTAAGGCCAAGGAAAGTATTCTAAAAGCAGAATGTACTTGTCAGAAGCACACAGTCATGTCATAGCTAATACATGAAACAGTGGAGAGAGGAAGGAAGCATCCAACATATAATGGACAGATAGGCAAGTCCAGAGAGTCTACCCTTGGGGTAGAAGTCTGATGTGATTAGTCGGCTAAAATTGAACATCTGTGAAAAAGAAAGCTCTGAAGTTCATTTTCTACCTCGTATTGGTTTGGGTAGGCTTTGTGACTTACTTCCACTGGATACTATTCTTTGATTTTTTTTCAATTAGATCAATTCCTTCTAAGACGTTGGTGATATCATATATTCTTCGCTTTTGCCTTACAGCCAAAGTATCTGCAGCCTGTTTAGGACAAAAAGAACAAAGAAAGTATCATGGATATATAAAGCCAGAGAGAGAGATGATTGTCAAAGTCAAAACAGTCTAATTAGAGTCTAATCCCAAATATGACCCACTCAGTCTCTTGAGAACATTAACTAGATATATTTGAAGCATTTCCCAGACTTTGCAAATACCAGAGAAATTATTCCATCTAAACAGTAGAAGATGTTAAAGAAAAATACTGTCACAACATAAGCCCTATACCAATAAAACAACACGGTAGTAATTTTTTTCACCTCACAGACTAAGCTGAGGAGGAATTACTAATTGTTAAGTTTTTCACTTTCTATAAGAATCTCATCAAAAGACAGCCTTACTCTTATGTATTTGGGCCTTTTGATAATTAAGGAATAAAGGGAGTCAGCATTATATGCAAAAATTGTAAATTTTTTAAATAATGATTTGTGTTTTAAAAGCTTTATTGCATGGATGAATTTTTCTACCCCAACACTATTAAATCAACAAGAAATAAAAAGCTTTAACATAGCGGAGTTTCTAGCAATTATTTTTTTTTTTTAAAAAAAGCATGGTGGTTTCTTTCCTACAAGGTAAGAGAAACACAAATCCTATCATGATGAACCCGAATGAACATTATGAAGACGCAGGAGTTCCTGTGATCAGCTCCCCACTGAGAAAGAACTTCAGAAAAGAGGCTACTCAGTAGCTGTGTTCAGAGTCAACAGCCTCAATCAGTAATGGAAGGTGCCACTATACAATCATGGTACTAATGAAATAGTAGTTAAATGGCCCTCCTGACAATTGCCAGCACATATTCTATATTAACAAATGTGATTTAGCAGCCTAAGACATGTTTACCAGCTCTCGCAGGTCATCACTACTTGCTTGACTCACTCACCTATCTTAATTAGGGTTTCTACTGTTGTGACAAGACACCATCATGAAAAGCAATGGGAGGAAATATTTGACTTATATGTCCCAATCACAGTCAATCATTTACATACATACATACATACATACATACATACATACATTCCGTGTTCAGAACTGACAACTTGCCACTGGACAACCAATTGGATTGCTCTTCCCTAGGGAGAACCACCTCTCTTGCTCCCAACTTTCCTCACTTGCCTATAGTTCTTTGTGTGGGGATGAGGCCTCACTGGCTTTTCCCTGTCTGTTTTGGCATATTTGCTGGTGTCCTCCTTGTTCAGCTCATGTGTGAGCATTTCTGTAGGCGAGAATCTATGGGTGTGGTTTCTGGTAGCACTAAGAGAGAGACAACAGACCTTCTGGGACATTGTGAAGGTATCAGCCTTTAATTCCAGGGACATGGAAAGCCACTAGGCAGTTTTGAGCACAGGGATAATTAGACTTCATACTACAAAATGTCTTCTCTGTTTGCTATCAGAAGAGTCTTAGAAGAAAACAGAGGAAAGGAAATCAATGTGAATGGCATGTCCTACCATGATAATAACGGACTGAGCCTCTGAACTGTTTTTCTCTATAAGAGCTGCCACAGACCAAGAGGTGGTGGCGCATGCCTTTAATAGCAGCACCCAGGAGGCAGAGGCAAGCAGATCTCTGTGAGTTTGAAGCCAGCCTGGTCTACAAAGTGAGCTCCCAGCCCAGGCTCTTAACGCAGTCAAACTTTGTCTTGAAAAACCCAAAATACACAAAAGAGTTGCCATGGGCTCTCTTCACATCAATAGAAACCCCAAGACATGGCACTTTATGCTGATCTATTTCCTTAATTTAATTATTACCGCATTTCACACACAGCTCATTATAATTAATATGTAAAATGCTTGATTTTAACCTGTAGTAATAGGGTAACAGGACTTTATAGATGTTATTTAATGTAAACATCACAATAACTCAGCAAAGCCCATAAAACTAAAGATATTATTCTATCTTTACTTTACCTATTATGGGTAAAATTTTACATTAGTCCTATATTCAAAAAATAAAATTGTGACAAAACATTTTATACAACTTAGAAGACTAAATCATTTGGGCGTATGAATTCAGTATATGCTCGACCTAACAGGTGACTTAAGTAAAACTTCATTATAGGTTCCATGAGGGGGTTGATAACGGCAGAAAAGCAGAAATTTTAATTTCCACTTACTTGCTTACTGAAAATTAAAAAAACTCACACATACTTAACTATATCTATGCAGATAGCATCTCATAAAATGGTGTTTAAACATATATAGATACTCCTGGAAATTGGAAGTAGACAAGATCGCCAGGCAAAAGTTGGAAGCATGGGGGCGGCTGGGGTAGAGGGAAGGGGAGAGGGGAGAAGGAAAGGGTTGGGGAGAGCTTGGAAGAGTGGGATGGTTGAGGTGGAGGAAGTATGGATATGGGAGCAGGGAAGGAGATATCTTAATTGAGGGAGCCGTTCTGGGGTTGGCAAGAGGCTTGTCTATGGAGGGATTCCCAGGAGTCCATGGGGATGACCCCAGCTAGGACGCTGGGCAGTAGAGGAGAGGGTTCCGGAATTGGCCTTGTCCCGTAGTCAGACTGATATCACCACAGAACCTTCGTCTGGCGATGGATGGAGACAGAGACAGAGACCCACATAGGAGCACTGGACTGAGCTCCCAAGGCCCAGATGAAGAGCAGAAGGAGGGAGAACATGAGCAATGAAGTCAGGACCACGAGGGGTTGGTTCACCCATTCAGACAGTGTGCTTGAGCTAATTGGGGAGCTCACCAACTCCAGCTGGACTTGGACTGAACTAGCATGGGATCAAACTGGACCCTCTGAATGTGGCTGACAATTGGGGCACACTGAGGGGCCAATGATAATGGCACTGGGATTTGTCTCTATTGCATGTACTGGCTTTTTGATCCTATTCTCTTTGGATGCATACTTTCCCAAGTCTGAATGTGTGTGTGTGGGAGGAGCTTGGACTTCCCACAGGGCAGGGTACCTTGCCCTCTCTTAGGACTGGAGGGAGTTGAGGGGAAGGGTTGTGTGTGGGAGTGGGAGGGAAGTGGGTGGAGGGGAGGAAGTGGGAATTTGATTGGTATTATTTATAAAGTAATAAAAAAGAAATAAAAAAAGAGAGGAAAAAATGGTGTTTAAAGCATCAAGCTGTAGGGACTGAAGAAATGGCCTCGCTGTTAAGAAGAGTACTTGTTGCTCTTCCAGAGGATCTGGGTTTGGCTCCTACATGGAGGCTCACAAGCATGTGTAACTAACTCCAGTTCCAAGGAACCAACGTCTCTACCGACTTCCACTGGCACTGCAAGCAGGTGGTGCACATAGATACGCACGAGGCACAACAATAGTACAAATAAATAAATCTAAGAAGGAAAAGAAAGAAATAGTAATCCAAAACCTACAACGACTGCACTTGCCAAACCTGTGCAGATCCCTAGGTGAAATCCCTAGCACAAAAATAAATGTTAAAAATGCTATGAAACTGGGAAGAAAGGGGAGTATGCAAGGTGAGAGCAAAAACATTCTGTTTCCAATGGGCTTTGTTAAGTTGGGAGCATAGACCCCCAACCCCTTGCATCTATCCTAGCCTCCAGGCCTGAGAGTTTGTATTGGTCTGGACTCCATATCCCAGCAGGCCAGGGGGGTAGGTCAGGACCACTCCCAAGAATGTTTAAGGGAACTCCCAAAAGAGGAACACGTGGTCTCCTTTTCTTCCTCCCTGGGGTCACCCGAGAGTGCAGAACTCCCATTAAACCTGGATATCCTTAATTTTGCTTGTTTTGATTTGGCTTGATTGGGAATTTGCAGAGAGCTCACATTAGGAAAATATTCCTAACAGGCTTGTAGGGTCCGTAAATCAACAAGGAAATGAAATACCAAGAAATGCTGACACGAAGAGCAGAAGGCCCCTCCTGCAGCACCATTTATTTACACAGTAAGTGTTTCAATTGGCATCAGTGCTCTGCCCAAAGAAACTGCACCTAAGAACACCCTCTGTGCTTGGCTACTCTGACTGCTACTGTACTATTTCGAAATATACAAACCTTGAATATTTTTCTGATGCTATTTTTAATCAAATCTTTAAAAGCTTTTAAAAAGGAAGTTCTTTTCTTACACAAGTCACCAAAGAATAATCAAGGAGAATAAAGGTATTTGATAGTGTCTATATAACTAGGAAAATCATAGTGATCCTCTGAAATCTATGAATCGAAATCTGACTGTGCCCACTAATTGCATAGTTTGAAAATCCTTCTTTGTAATTATTATTTTGGCTGGCATACAAAGGTTTGGCTGGTACACTGGGACCTGTTCTTATTTGACGCCCCGTCCCACTGCCCTCCCTCCCTCCTGCTTTGTTCTACTCTATGTGTGAACTGTCCTACTGTCCTGCAGGTCCTGTGTATCCAAGTTTGCTGTCACAGGACACTGATGAGGTTTAATTAGGGCACACCTTGATAATGTCATTTAACTCAACCTTCTTTTTATGAAATTTCCCTCAAATGTGGTTCCATATTAATGAATAGGGTGGGGGGGGCACTAAGAGTTTTGACAAGTTTTGACTATTCAGCCTAATCCCATTATCAATTACAGAATTTTTGTTCTATACTGCCATATCTTCTGGCAGGCATTCTCCTGCTTTGTTTCTAAGAATTTGAGTACTCTTAAATACTTCAAATAAAAATCATACAACAGGGTCTGGAGAGATGGATCAGCACTTAATGTAAGAGTACTGGCTGCTCTTCAAGAGGACCTATGTTTAGTTCCATGGAATGGCTCTCACCTCATCTGTAACTCCAATTTCAGGGAATCAGATGCCTTTTTCTGTCATCTGCAGGCTCCATACACACATGTAGTACAGACATACATGCAGGCAAAACACTCATACACATAAAATAAAAATTAAGGAAAAGGATTATACAGCATTTATCTGTTTACTCAGTATAAAGTCCTCAAGGATCACCTTCGCTGTATATGTCAGAATTTCTAAAGCAGAAAGTCCCTCACTGGGCCTGCATATCCCAATTGAATACCCATTGAAAGACATCTGAGTTACCCATCTTTTGACT